CATATGATAGAAATATTTACACTGTGCTCATACAATTATTATTATTTTCCTAATCCCTGACTGATAATTTTTAATCTAGCGTGTATTATAGTATAGATTAAATTCATCATCCAGCTGCTGCTCTGCAGAATTCTCTCCCCAAGAGCTGAATCGCGCCATCTAGCGGAAAATCACGCGGCTTTTTCAAATCAGGTTGTTTTTAGCAAATGTCTGTGATTTTACAGTAATTTTGAGTGATAAATTACTAATGCAATGAAATTTGTACTCTCCCGACAATAAAAACTACTACCGGGCGATCGGTCAATGGTTAACATCAAGCCTTGGTAATGGTATAAGCTGGTATTAATTATCAGTGAAATGTTTCTAAAACTATATGGTACTTACACTGAAATACATCCAAGTGTAATTCCCTAACCACTAACCACTCCCAAATAAATGAACAGAATTTATCTCACAATGGAAAAATTCCCTTTTGCATCTTAAACCATCCCCTTCCAATCACCACCTTTTCAACACACAACTCATATAAGAGGCTCTGCTGCTGTGTGATGTTGATTAAAGGTTCGCTCTAGCTTATTAATTATGAGCCAAGCAGTTTTAAACATCCTTTCCTCATAGATAAATGAGTCTGTGGTTGTGCTGCCATCTTTATAATGCGGTCTTGCGACTCTCCTGTTGAACCCGTCCGTTTGACGAACAGCCGCTACAGTCTAGAGTCGGAGCCCTTTGTGCGTTTGCCAGGAAAAGCTCCCGCCGCACCATCAGGACGCGCTCCCTGGAGGAGTCAGCGTCAGCCCAGCGTATCTAGGCAGATCGAAGAGGAGGAAGGCAAGAGGTGCATTGGTAAAGGACCCCAGCAGCACATCCCTAACCACATGTGACAGGTTTATTCAGAGGCTGTGATTCAGATGTGTGGAGGTCACAGGGAATGACTCTGGGAGCAGCTGTTTGCCATCATTGTCGCAGCTGTAAACTGCACCTGTGTGTCTGGGGGGCGGGGGGGACCCCCAAAACATCTGCCACATGATAAATCTCACCACATCACTGCAAATTAGTTGCAGAATGAGCTGTTTTGTGGCTTTTGAATCCCTGGAGCAGACCTCTCCATCCATCACCTGCAGACAGAGATGATCCACTTCTTCATCTCCTTCCTTGGTGTTAAAGCTTCATATCTGCTCTCACAGCGCTTTGCACCATTCTTTGTTTCGCTGCTCAGCTTCAAGAAATACAAACTTGTCTTTTAAGGTTTTTTAAGGGTCAGAATCAGATGAAGGAAAAAGATTTAAACCAGTTTTACCCTTCTTTATTTTATTTTTTATGATTTGACAACAGGAAGCACTGTAGTGTGTAATCCTTAGGCGGAGGAAAATGCTAACAGTGTTTAAACCTTTGTCTTTTAAAACAAACTGAATTCTTTAAAGCATGGAAAACATTTCAATTCAACTCCCCCTCAGTCTGCCATGTTTTCTGAGTAATAGTTCAGGCTCAGACGGATCCTGTGGAGGACTTTAAGGACACTTTTTAAAAACAGCATTTTTTCCATATATGCTCTCCTCTGGGATAAATGTTCCATCTCCATCATAACTTTGACAACCTTCACAACACAACCAGCCCATTCTGCATGACACTGCCATCAGTACAGTAATGTTTTTTTTTTCCATTTTGCATGTTGATCATAAGTTAATTTTTGGTCTCATATGATATTTTTCTATGCATTTCACCTAGAATCACATTTATTTTTTGTGATTTAAGTTTTTTACGTAAACAATCAAACAAATACGTTACAAAGCTTACATGGTATAATAGGCAGAAAATAAAAGCTTACAACACATGGTCAGACAATTAAAGTAAAAATAAAAGGATGATGAAGAGGGGAAACAAAAGAGAAAAAAATAAATTGTAACCTCATATGAAATATATGCATTTGATTCGCACACATATCTTAACATACAAATATTATAATAACAAGTTCGATAACTGTAATGCTCACATTCCTGCCAGTCTTATAATAAAGCCACTGCTAAGAAGTCAGGTACACTTGAAAAAAATCCCAATTGTTTACCATCACCTGCCCTTTGCCTTTTAATCCTTGATGAACTGAAGTTGTCTTCCTCCAAATGTTCGTGTGTGAGGAAGTTTTTTGTATGTAGGGGTGGGTTGGTTCCCCTGGGACGGTGTGTGTATTAGGAGATGCTTTATAAATGTATGTACTGAGCTTTCCCCAGTCAGAGCTCTATCTCTCCATCTGAGGACGTAAAATTAATTTGAACCTTCTCTTGCAAGAGTCTCATTTTTCCACAACTTTGTAAGACATTTTTATAGATCTAACAGATGTATGCATTACTTTATTTAGTAGCATAAGGTAAAATTGAAAGCAATCAGTTAGACAGGATGTTGTTGGGAGGAAGCCTTAGTTTAATTTTTATTCAGCTTTTATTTATTAGGTAGTCTCCAATACCGTAGTCACAAGAGAGACTGGTTTCAATTGAGCAGACATTTTTTTTGGACTTGAATCAAACAGACCATCCAACAAAACAAGAGCAAGTCTCATAGGAATGTTTCTTGCTTCTATAGTCCCAGCCTTATCACTGTGCAGTGTTTAGGTAGTGCTTTTTCTCAAACTTTTGATCGTCCTAACAGAACTGTGCAGGAAATGAAGTCCTGAGAGCGACGTCTGTGGCTGGACTGTCAGCGACACGTAGGAGGATAATCAGGCAGCAGCTCAGTAGATAAAAATGTACCAATGCGTGACTCTACAGACTGATAATGATGGCCGCCTCCACCGAGAATGTAAAGTAGAGCGATGAGTGAGAGTTTCATACCCTGTAATGAACTGTAATGCTCCATGATGTACAGCATCCAACATATGCGGAGAGGTGGAAGGTGTTTTTATAAACACAACGTCAGAGTGATCGAACAGAAGCTGGGAGTTCGTTAAGACAAGATGGTGATTGAAAAGAGAGATCTATTTCTAAAGAAAAAGGCCTAAATGTATCTTCAACTGCCTTACATGACGTTTAATATGTGACCTAAATGTAGGTGTTAGACTGAACCTGAATCCGCTTCCTGTGTTTATATCAGTAGCTGTCTTTGCTCTCTGAGCTCCAGAACTCAATTAAAGACAGAGGTGTCAAAGTATAAATACTTTGTTACCTTATTTAAGTAGAAATTTTGGCTCTCTATACTTTCCTTAAGTAATTAAAAGTAATAACTGGAG